GGGTTATTTATTTTTTTATACTTAAAAATCTTTTATTTTTTATTTTGCAATACATGTTTCCATTCATCTTAGGGAGTGGGTATGTGTACTTAACACACCTTCATTTTTTTATTCCCCTTCCCCCACCTCCATTTCTACATATCCTTCCCATTTGCAAAGGATCTATTTCCCTGTTTCTTAAAATTATTTGTACTTTGGGTTTCTCTTATAAGTTATGGGATACTTAAGCTTATGTGTCTGATTTCTTTCACTTAACATCATGGCCTCAAAGTGCACCCGTTTTCCTACAAAGGACTCCAATTTCTTCTTTATGGCAGAGTAGTGCTCCATTATATATAAATGCCACGTTTTGTACCCATTCATCTGTTGATGGATATGTAGGCTGTTACGTGCTTTGCTGCTATAAACGAGGGTGTGCGCATATCCGTGTGGCATGGTGTCTTTAACTCTTTTGGGGATGAGACCTAGGAGGGGAACAGGTGGGTGGAATGGGACTTGGCACCCAGATTGCTGAGTGGGTAGACTCTTGTCACTGGGTCGTTAATGTCTGTCACTCAGCAGAGCTGAGCTAGAAATCCAGGCAGTGAGGCCCTCCCGCCTAGCTTACCCAACTACCTGCTTCCTCCTGATGTCTGCAGGATGTGCAACAGCCCAGGGCGGGGCTGAGGATGAAGGAGAGGCAGAAGCAGGGTGGATTGAGGGGGCCGCTATCCTCCTCTCGGTCATCTGCGTGGTGTTGGTCACGGCCTTTAATGACTGGAGCAAAGAGAAACAGTTCCGGGGCCTGCAGAGCCGCATTGAGCAGGAACAGAAGTTCACCGTGGTCCGGGCCAGCCAGGTGGTCCAGATCCCCGTGGCTGAAATCGTGGTTGGGGACATCGCTCAGATCAAATACGGTACGTGTCCCAGCCACAGAGCAGTCTTCTAGAGCTGGGTTCTGGGCAGCGGAAGGACAGAGGGGCAACTGCAGGAAGACAGGCCCAGAAAAGGGTGCATCCCTGAAGGCCGACCCCAAGCAGGCTGTGCTCTAAAGCCCCTCGGGAGGTAGAAGGGCACTACTCAAAGGAGATAGGATTTCAGAATTATTGAAATCATGCACCACTTCTCCAAACTTTTACCCACAGCAGACATTGCTAACCACAATTCAGAGCTGGGGTAGTCAGGAGCCTCCTCAACACCACACTGTACAGACTTCTACTCCTCAGAAGGAGTCTGAGATGAACTTCCTCTCCCCTCCTGATCTGGCTGTGGATGGGGGAGGTGTTCAAGGGAGCAGAAGTGAGTGACTCTTTCACCTGTGAGCAAGCAGATAGGCTGGCACCAGAGAGGGGCAGTGGGCCCTTGTGTGGTTCTCAGGAGTACCCAAGAGCTCTGGGTGTCAACTCCTTGCTGGAGAACCTTCCCACACGATCACTCCTTTAGCGGACGTTCCACCTCTTGGTCCCCAAGACCACTAATCCCACCTCCCTCCCTCCTTCCAGGTGACCTCCTCCCTGCTGATGGCCTCTTCATCCAAGGCAATGACCTCAAGATCGATGAGAGCTCCCTGACAGGGGAGTCGGACCAGGTGCGCAAATCTGTGGACAAGGACCCCATGCTGCTGTCAGGTGAGCTGCGGTGCTTTGAGAGCCCTTGGCCTTGGCTCTGAAGCCTCAGGAGGCTCAGCTCCAGTGAGAACAGCACACTTAACCCTGTTGTGGGCCAGGGCACCATGGGGAATGAAATAAACAGAATCCCCTGGAACTTCCCTTTTAGTGACTGCTTGCTGGAAAGCCCTTGCCGAACGTCTCTCTTCAGGGATGGGAAGAAATCAGTTAGGTGATGTTCTCTATGGAAAAGTATCATGCACCAGGCCCCAGGTGGTACTCAAGGCCCAGCCCCGAGGAGCCTGTGGTCAGGGAGGAGAGCGAGGTCATGTGAAAGTTCCAGAAGTGATAGTAGGTGAGAAAAACAAACCAAACAGAGCAAGGGCAGCTGGGAGGTCGGGGACAGCCTCTGCCAAGAGGCTGTGGTGAGCTAGGGTGTTAAAGTATGAGGAGGAGGAGCCACCCGTGACTGCCAGGTCACCCGTGACTGCTGCTGCTGCTGCTGTTGTTATGTGTTTCATTTCATTTTGTCAAGCCAGTCTCACTGAGTTGCAGGGCTGGTATCAAACTCATGATCTTCTTGCCTCTGCCTCCTAAGTGCTAGGATTACAGCCGTGCACTACCATGTCTGGATTCTGAGGTGGTTTTTAGTAGCAGCGGGTGGCATTTGCGTTTTTAGAAGCCTACTCTGGCTGATGCCAGGGGCAAGTGGGTGTGTGGGAAGACCCTGCAGGGGTGAGGCCCCAGCCTCTTGTCCAGAAATACTCAGCATATATTCTCCGAGCCCCAGGACCCCAAATGCTGAGTCAGGCCTGGCCCCTGAACTTGGGAAGCTCCAGGGTGAATGGGCCTGAGGGGATGTGAGAAGGGGTTGTAAGGAAACCGAGAAGGAGGCCAAATCCCCAAAGGAGATGATGTTGAGCTGGGTTTCACAGACTGAATAGGAGTTTGACAAGTCCAGTTGTGGACTTCTGGCAGCAGCAGCAGCAGCTGTGTGCAAAGGTCCAGAGGCCTGACGGAGTCTGAAATGACTTGTAAATACAAAGGGGAGTATGTGCCAGTCTGCAATGAGAATCAGGCTGGAGTATTTAGTAGCCAGAATGTATTCAACCGACATTTGTTTATTAAACACCTACTCTGCTCTGGCAGCAAATGGGACCAACAAGGACCCTGCCACTCTGGAGCTGGGAGCTTGGAACCTAGTGAAGGAGACCGCCAGTAAAGGAACAAGCATGAAAACAGGTCAGGTCGGCTCAGTTGATGATGAAACAGATAAGGATACACTGCAGGAGCAGGGCCCTGAGCTGCCAAGGAGAGGCCTGTCCGGGGAAGCTGCTTCTGAGTTAAAACTGGGGCAGAGAAGAGCAGTCCCAGCAGAGGGACAGTAAGTGCAACGTGCATGGTCACTGAGCTGGACCAAGGGACATGAAAGGTCTCTGGGCCTTCCTGGAACACTGGGCCACGCGAGAGTTCGACATGGCCGAAGCCTCCTGGCCCTGGTCCTGACCTGTGGCATAAAGGGGTTTACAGACAGCAAGCGTCCTGTGGGGAAGGGTCTGGATGAGTTATCCGATCAGCAGATGCCCGGGGAGGCTGGGCCTGCATCAAGGAGCAGTAAAGATTCCAGACAGTTGGGAGAAGAGACAGGAGGATAGGGTGCTGGCAAGGGCCTGGGGAGACAGTGTTCAGAGTCACTGGTCCAGTGGCTTCACAGACCAACCAGAGGTGGGGGCATTGCAGGGGTAGAGATCCTGGAAAAAATCTGAATGGGCAGAGAGGGGTGGGAAGCTGGCCAGCAGCCTAGGGTAAGTCACAGTGCATCAGGGGTGGGAGAACCCAAAGGCAACGGGGCGCCAAACACCAGGCGATGCTAAAGGAAGAGGACAAAACAGACTGTTCCAGGCTAATACCAGGAAGGAAACAGAGTTCTGGGGGAGTCAGGGGCTTGGGGTTCACCTCTGGTCAGTGAGAGCATCGCGGAGAAGCTGTGGAAATCCCTGAGGGGCCAGGATGCTGAGGGAGCCCATCGTTGGGCCTGCAGCCCCTTGGAGCCTTGGTGGGGATCCAAGCACTGGGTGTGAGGCAGGTGCTCTGGGTCCCTGAGAGCGTCTAGTGCATCCTGGGAATTGCAGACTGGTGGACAGCTCAGGAGCAGGTGGCTGTGAACCCTGAGAAGAGAAAGAAATGATCCCAGATGCCATGGTTGTCCCCTGAGCCCCCGTCACACCGATGGCTTTGGTCTTGAACCGGCCTTTGAGATGGAGTGGGCTTCTGGCCACAAGGGGTATCAGCCACACTCCCAGGCAGGCTGGCACTGCATGCTGCAGCCTGAGGCTTCCATGGCCAGTGTTGACTCCTAGGTGGCTGGCTGTCTGGAGGGAGGTATCCCATGGAAACTGTGCCCACCAAGCTCACAGTGCCCACGAGGTCAGGGAGAGTAGCAGAAGGAAAGCCAGAGTCAGGACCCACAGAGATCCCCACCAGTATAGGATGAACCACACAGAGGAAGGTGAAACTCCAGGGCTGCAGGCCTGCCTCAGGCATTTGCACGTCCGGTCCAGTGCCTGGCCTTTCACCTGCCCTGGAGACCTGCCTCCCACTGGTCCCTCGTACCTGCCAACGACAGCCAACCTCCTAGGTGCTCCTCTTTCTTCTTCTTTGCCCACTTAAGTCCCCCCTGTCTTCTCAGGCCCACCTCCTCCATGCAGGCTTCCCTGTCGCTGCCCCCCTCTGACACTCACCCCTCTGTGCAGAGGACACCCACTTCACCCTGAAGGAGGCACAGTCTTATAACACTGAATTATGCTTTGCACGAAACACCTCATGCGAAGAACAGAAGGCACCAGCAGACCAGGTCGACTGCTGCAGTGTTACTGCTAGCGGCCCATTCGCTCTCAGCCCTGCACAGACAGAGGCAGGGCCCGAGGTGTGCTTCTACGTCAGTCCTCTCACCAGATACCTACACAGCTGGCAGCCCAGCATCGGCCTGAGGCCGACTGGAGCTTATGCCCAGCTTCAGCCCTGGGCCTCCAGGTGAGGGGAGAGAACCAGGCAGAGGTGCAGACGGCAGAGAATCAGCCTGACAGAAGCTGACCTGAGCTCTTGAGTGAACTCGCTTTGTGGCCTCGTGCATGCCGCTTCCCTGCTAGGCCGGTGGAGATGGATGGGGGTGGAGCCCCTGGCACTCACCGAGCGTGTGCTCAGGACACTTGTGGGTTGCCTTCCCCGTGCCTGGTGTGGCACCTGGCCTGGCCTTTAGAAAAGTATGTCCCCCTCTCTACCTTCACCACCTTCCCTGCTCTCTTCCCTTTCTCTTCACCCCCTTGCTGCTGCCACCTCAGCCTCAGCCAGGGCTCCTCCCCTGCTCACCTTCTGCCAGGGTGCCCTGCGCTCCTGCGTCTCAGCCATGTGGCTCCTGACTGTGCAGACCGGACACCCTGGGCCCTGAAGTGTGCCTGGAACCTCATGGGCCCTCAGTCAGATGACCTTGCAGAGACACTGAGGGACCTGGCAAAGGCATTCCCAGGGTCCTGGTGGCACTTAGAAGCCCCCACCTCGCCAGAGGCAGAATGGTCCTTGCCTTTGCAAGGCTGAAGCTGGGCCCCAGGGGTCTTAGCCATGCTTGGCCTATGATGGAGGACAAGTCCTTTCACTTCTCTCAGCCTCCATGTCTGTCTGTGCACAGAGGGGCCAGTGGGTCCCCCTGCCTGTCCCACAGGTCTGCTGTGGGACCACAGGATGTGCAGGCACAACTGTCCTTTCAAACGCTGCAGGTGTGAGTTGCCACACTGGAGCAGGAAGGGCGCAGCGCCCGGGGGCAGTCAACCCCAGTATCAGTCCCCAGTGCAGAGGGTCAGATAAGAGTCCACGTCCTATGGGCAGGGTGGAGATGCTCAGTCTCACCAGCTCCCACAGGTGTGGCTTCAGGGAGCATGGACATCAAGGCATGAGCGCAGCTGCTCCTATTGCTACCTGCAGCCGTGTGGACCCCAGGTGGGCACCCTGCTCACTTCAGAAGAGCCAGAAATCCAGACTCAAGGGCCCACCTCCTGAGACCTAAGCGTTCCCTAGAGACTCAAGAATATGTGGATCCTACAGTGCCAACTCTGACCTGGTCTTATTTGTTTAGCTGTGTATTCTAAGATTATTTCAAGCTTCAAGAAAAGTTGCACAGATGACTTGAGGGGAGCCCATGCATGTGCTCCCTACTAATTCAGCTCCCGTGCCCAGTCCCTCTCCCCCGGGCTGAGTGTGCCCCTTCCCCGGAGTCTTAGGGACAGGTGTACCTCCTAAGGACATTGGGTTCCTGCAGCCACCTCAGCACAGCCACTGCATGTAGCCAGCTTGATGTTGACATGGCTCATGTCCCTAAGGGTCCATCTGTGGTCAACTGGACTGATCACCGCTGCCCAAGACTAGGAGCAGTGCAGGGCCTGCGAGCTCCTGGACACTGCACCTGTCCGGCCTCCTTTGACAGGGAGCAGCTCCTTGTCTGCTCTGTCTTCCATGGAGCCAGGGCTTTCAACCATCCTCTGTCATGACCTCCTTGAGTGTCCTGAAACAGTAGTCCCTGTTACAAGAAAGAGATGCCTGGGCTGTTGAGTGTGCAGTATACTGGGGACTCAGAGAACCCCAAGTCTGCTCCATTTTGAAACTGGGGAAACTGAGGCCCAGGGCAGGAGAGCCAGGCTGCACAGCAGGGGCAGGGCTGGAGTGAGACCCCAGCCTGCTACTCCTCCGACAGCTCCCAGCTGAACCTGCCTCCGAGGGCCATGTGGACTCAACCCCCTGGCAGTACGGTCTGTTTAAAGCACCACCCAGCAAGGTCAGCTAGGAAGCAGACAGCTGGATGCTGACAGGGTCCTGGAGGGTTAGGGTCAGGAGAGTAGGACAGGGATGTCTTCTGAAAGCAGCAGAGCCCTCTCCAGGGACCACTCCACACTCCCTGTCCCCAGCCAGAGCATTTTCAATACAAGGCTGTGACCTCTCTGGGGACTCGGCCATATCCCAGTCCCTGCTGCCCGCCCTACCACGCGGAAGGACAGGCCAAGCAGCGAGCTGGACCTCCATCATTGCCGCACAGGACAGCACCGTGACTGCAGAAGGCCTGGTCTGCCACTCGGCCCGCACTCTCTCCATTACACTACCCTGCCTCTTCTCCATGAGAGGCAGCGGGGCGTAGTGGATAGAGCACGGGTTCAAGTCCCAGCTCCACCACTCACAGCTGTGTGACCCTGAGCCACCACTCAACCTCTCTGAGCCAGAAAGCCACAGGTGGGCAGAGGGGCTTGGGGTTGTGCTTGCACCAGAACCTGCTTCACAGGGATGCTGGAAGGGAGGCTTTACACGCTTCGGGTTCTCTGTGTTATAGCAGTGATGGAGCTCAGCATCTGGGCTGCAGTGGGCTGGCTCCCTCCTTTCACTCCTCATCAATCAGGCCTAGCAGGTCAGACCTGAGAGAGCAGAGCAGGAGCCAGGGCCAGGCCAGCCGCCCACTGTGAATCCTCAGTGGGCCATTGCCCTGCCTGGGCCCAGCAGCCCCATTGTGTGGGGCTGAGTACTTTGCCACCAAGTACTCAGTGTGCCCCACCTCCCACAACACAAGACTCTGGCCCTGTAGCAACTGATGTCTGGGCCAGGACTGGGAGCTGTTCCTGCTCTCCAGGAAGGGTGAGTCCAGCAGGAGCAGTGGGCCTGTGGCCTCCCTCTGCCTCCAGGTCCAAACTCCAGGGAGGGCTGGTATGCGGCTCAGTGGTGGAGCGAGTGCCAGGGGGCATGAGGCCCTGGGTCATCCCCGGCACTCAAAGAAAAACGGAAGGGATGGGGACCGGACGGAAGCTCAGGCAGAGCAGGACACTCTGTGGGGTGGCAACATGGCTACCCTATGCTGCCTCCTGCATCTGACCCTCTGGACCCCCAAAGGCTGTGCCTGGACTCCACCCACGAAGCTCCCCAGCTAGATGGGAAGGCCCTGAGGGTGGGGCCATCCCGCTGGCTTCACCCGCCCAGGCACGGGGGAAGAGCAGCTCAGACAGTACTGGTGCACAGTGAGTCCTCGGTTAACAGTCCGTCTCTTCTCCCACAAATGTTTCCAGGGGCTCCCTGTTGAGCACCAAGCAGGGTCAGCTGCCCCTCCACAGCCAGCCCTCCCTCCGGAAGCCTTGAGCACTGGCCTAGATGAGCTGCTGCCATTGTATCAGCCTCCCACCTTTGCCAGCAGCCCACTGGGCCCTGGGTGCTCTATATCAGTGTCTCTGTGCCTGTCTGCTGCCCTCAACCCAGCTAGACTGTGAGCTCCCAGAGGACAGGGACCATGGAGGCCCTTGCTGCAGGACCCATGCCTGGTGTGGAGTTGACATCCCAAGATGCCTGTCTGTCCTGCCTATGGCCCATCAGGCTCTCTGCCTGAGATGGAGCTGCCCCGCCCCACACAAGATGTAGCTTCTGTCTCGCCACCCTCAGGACCCAGCACATCAGATGCTGCTGCTGAGAGGTGATGGCCTAAGCCAGCTGCATGCTTCCCATCTCACAGATGACAAAGCTGAGGCCCAGGAAGGAGAGGGGCTGGGCTAAGCCCACACTCCAGCTGAGTTCTGTGTGCTCTGAAGGGGTCCCTGGGCAGTTAGAGCAGCCAGGAGCCACAGATGGTGTCCAGGGGCCAAGTGAAGTCCTGATGCCAGGACTCCACACCCAAGGGGCTGCCGCTCTGGCCATACCCTAGGCCCTATGGTTTCCTTGGAGATAGGCGGTTTTGCCTGACCTTTCATTGGTGTACCTGTCGTCACCCAGGCAGCCTGGAGCTGCCTAGGGAGTTGCCTGTGACACTTCTCTCCTCCTCTGGCAGGAGGACAGCAGTGCTGGCCCTCAGAGTTCCTGCTGCAGGACAGGGCACAGCCCAGGGAGGTAACAGAGCAGGGGTGAGCCAGGATGACTGTGTCTACGAAGATGGCTTACTGGGGGAGAGCATCCTCCATTATAGATGCTCTGTGTGCTTGGCAGGCAGGGTACAGCAAAGGAGGGCATAGGAGGTAGAGCTGGGGCTGCAGCCACATGGCAGGCAAGCACTGTGGAAGCCAAGAGGAGACTGCACTTGGGCCCCGCCCTGCAGGAGTACAGGGTCTCCTGAGGGAGCCAGGCCGGGGGAGATGGAGCCAGTTCAGAGGGAGAAAGAAGTCCCCTTATGGGAGTCAGGGAGACCCTAGGGGAAGGATGAGCGGGGTGGGGACAAAGGCCAGTGAACTGTGTGGCCCAAGAGCAAAGGCCTCGTGGCAAGAACCAGTACATAGGACCAGGAGAAAGCTGGGGTCCCGCCTGGGGGCACTGAGTCCTTTGCTCCTCAGGGAGTGACTCAAACCCTCAGGGAGAATATCAAGGCGAAGCTGGCTAAGTAGCATCCAGGGAGACTGGCTGGATGCCGAGGAGAGGAGGGGAAGGTGTCTATGCAAACCTCCCCCGCCCAGTGCTGGGCCTTGGCTCCGGCTCACCCCTGCCCCGCCCTGTTCCCCACCGTGGATTCAGAGAGGAGCTGCCAGCTCTCTGCTGCCGTCACCATGGGAGTGATCAGATTCGAAGGCATTTGAGGTCTGCTTATCTTGGGTGGAAATTGGCCCCTTGTGTCTTTTTCCATCCTATCTCTGCTGAGGAGGTGGAGAACAGCCTCCTTGTGGCCACCCAGGCCAGAGGACTGGCACCTCATTTTCCAGCCAGCCTTGCACACGTGTGTTTGAGAGCAGGCTGTTGGGGCCCCATCTCTTAGGCCAAGTGTTATGTGGCCAGGACTGTGTGCTTGAGGGATGGCAGAGTTCAGGTGCTGCTCTGCCTTCACCAGGGGGAGCTCAAGGCGAGCCACCTGTCCTGCCAGCCTCCTGCACCACTGAGGGCCTCTGTGAGAGCACTTAGTTGAGCTGGTTGCCCACAACAGGCAGCACTGCACCTGGTGCTCAATGGGTGTGCTTCAGGAGTTAGTCTGGTTGCTGTTGTGTCTTCCTTGAAAAGTCTGTGACTACAACCTTATGTGCTCTTGAGTGACCCCTCACTCTGTGTGACATCAGTTTTCTCATCTGTGTGATAGGGACGTTCAACAGCCCCTCTCCCAGCCCCGCAAGGTTCTTTGTCGGAAGTTATTGTTAGGCCTGGGGTCCCAGGCCTGGGCCAGTCAGCCTGGAGTCTCCATCTGAGAATCTGGGTCTGTAACAGCTCAGGGCTTCCGGGGGTCCATGTCAGTGCGTGGACTGGATGGCCCACCTGCTTCCACGTGTCCACTGGAGCTGTCTGTCTGTCCACAGAGCACATTAAGGTCCTGAGGCCCAGGGGCCTGTGGCATGCGCTCCCCAGTGGGCACCAAGACCCTCGGAGAGGGACAGGCGGATGCCCCTGGGTCCCCATTAGGGCAGTGCTGGGGCCCTGGCCCAGCCTACACTGACTAGATGACCCTAATGGGTTTGGAAACTGGAACGCAGAGAAGCTCTCAGCCACAAGTTGCACCAAGATCTTGAGTCTCTGCTAATGTCACACAAAATAATGTCACCAGGGCCCCAGGCCGGGGCATGTGTAAGGATGTCCTTCTTTGAGGGTGGTACTCCAGTGTTTACAAAGATGAGTTTCCACCTTTGCATTTTGTCCTCACCCTGCCACAGCCATGGTGTGGGCCTGGGTGGGTCGCTCTGAGCAAAGTTAACAGAAACCTCCAAGGAGATGAGCAGGAGCAGAGCCCTTTGGCCCCATGCACAGAGCTGCCCCATGAGCCCTTGAAAGAATCCTGCAGCCTTTCGGAGATTCCCAAACTGAGCAGCCTAGAGCTCTGTCAAAGGGGTTCTTAATTCCTGGGGAAGACTGGTGTCACCATGGCCCAGCCCTACTTAGAATTTCAAAGTGTGTGAGATGAAATACACTGAATAGCTAAGCCGGTTATATTGCAATAAAGTAGTGAAAACGGTGTGGTACAGACATCTGTGTGCTTCTTGCTGGCTACATTAAACAAGACCTAGCAGGCAGCATAGTACCCAGCTCGGTGGTAACATAGGGCGCACCCCGGTAATGTCTGCAGCCACTGTGAAACAACATGAAAACTCCAGGATTGTTACGCGTGTCATGGTGCTGTGGACATCAGGAACACTCCTAGCACTTGTTACCTACATTCAGAGTAGGGAGAGTGCCGAATTTCAATCAGAGGTTTGTGGGGGGGGGGATTTTTTTTTCTCATCCACATTTGCAAGCCCCTAAATTCTTCTCCTAGACTTTTAGGACCCTGTTTTAAGCAATGTTGTGTAGAGTTTGCTTAATAGCATTGCCTTCCTAGTTGCAGCATTAAGGAAACTCTGAATACTATCAGTAAGAAAAGAGTATTCCCTGATTGACCTGTGCATCAGGAGAGGAAGGGAGAGAGACAGGGCACAAAGTCAGGGTCTGGAGCTGTTTGGGGCTGAGAACTGAGGGGCAGCAGTGCTTCCATCCCAAACCCACCCCATCGCTGTCCTTAACCCCAGGGAGCACTCCACCATCTTTGGGGTCAGGGAGCTGGGAGCTGAGGGTTGTGCTCCCACTCCTGCAGGGTAACTTGCACTCCTGGCCTGCAAGGGTAACTTGGTTTTGCCATTCCCCAGGGACCCATGTGATGGAGGGCTCGGGACGGATGGTGGTGACTGCCGTGGGTGTGAACTCTCAGACTGGCATCATCTTTACCCTGCTGGGCGCTGGGGGCGAAGAGGAAGAAAAGAAAGACAAAAAAGGTAAGCCCACCCACCCTCAGACCAGGAGAGGTGCTTTTAAGGCCACTTTTTTTTTTTTTTTTTCC